CGGCGTCTCAGTATACCGCGAGCTGTAGCTCGCGGTATACTGAGCTTAGGGTGACGGGAGGACGCTAGTTTGTGTCCTCCCGTTACCCTAAGGAGAACTATGGGGGAAAACACTGACCCCATAGTTCTCCTTTAAAGTGACATTAAACCCTCAGATTTTGTAACATAAACCAATACTGTAATGTGTGCCTTACTGTAATCCATGGTTGTTTCCCTTCTCTTTGCTGCTCTTCCTTTTAAATCCTCATGTCTTCTCATGCTCTGCAGAACCTCCCTTTGCAGCTCAGGGCCTCTTCCTGTAGTGCTGGCTCGGGTTACAAGCCTATACAAATCTATACACAGACACCGTGTATCCATTCCTGAGACAAGGCAGTCTGCTGCAAAACAGAAGTTCTGCAGAGCATGAGAACAGATACAGATTTAAAAGGAAGAGCAGCAAAGAGAAGGGAAACAACCATGGATTACAGTAAGGCACACATTACAGTATTGTTTTATGTTAAAAATCTGAGGGTTTAATGTCACTTTAAGATCAGTAAAGACATGTTATATATCACAACAGTTAAATCTGTGTCTGTATTGCATGATGAAACCTGAATACCAGAAGTAATAACAGGTTAACAGATGTTTACTCCAAGAGTATATAATGAGATTGGAAACTCTAGAGAAATTCTTAAATTACACTTTAACTAAACCCATAAGATTTTAATAGAGCCAATCTACTGTAGATTTAGTCAAATAAAATCTCATCATATTTAGTCTACTAAAAACTAGACTAAAACTAAAACAATTCAGATGACTAAGACTAACTAACTATGACTAAAACTAAATCGAAATTTGCTCACAAAATTAACAATGTATACTAGTTAGGATAGTTGTGGTTTAAATATGAAGCATTTGCTGTATATCTTCTAAAAACCCAGTCGATATGATTATTATGGTAAGGATACAGTACGTTAACATTTTATTTTACTGTATGGAGGGGTATTTTCTAAGACCAACACCAGCCAAAACTTTTTTTATTTTGTTTTACATAGACTGTCAGGTTTTATTGCTGTCTATTGTGGAAATGACACCTCATTTCCTGTCCCTGTGACAGCCGGACAAGAAGTAAAGGGAGTGGTTGTCACTGGGAAGGAACAGAGTAATAGTAATCCGACAGAGGTTTACTGAAAGTAGTGTTCTGTTCCAGCCCGTGTCACCCTGTCCTGATATGAGGCAAGAGGAAGTCTCCCTAGTGGAGACTTCAGTAAACTTCTGTCCCTTCTCAACACTGTTGAAAGCTAGAAAAAAAGGTTTTGGCTTTAGTTGGGCTTCAATAGATACTGTGTAGATATATGCACGCTAGTACAAATGTTAATTAAAAAAATAACTACACAAATTTAGATGACTTAAATTGATATTAAAGCCTACTTTTTTTTGCTATCTCTACTGCTGATGTGAACGCTTACCTTCAGTGGTGTGTTCCAGTTCTGATTCATGTGGTACATACAGTGGCCCTGTTTTTTTTTTTAGTAAGTGTGGCTCGCTTGAAGGAGCCATCTGTTTATACATGTTTCAAAGAGATACTACAGCCTGATGTCATTCCACTGCCTGTGCCGACTGGCATAGGCTGCCTGGGAGCATTGTGTAAAGTGACATGTGAGTACCATGTATGCACAATGGCGCTATGAATTTTGGACATGTAGTCCTTAACAGGGGGATCAGGGGAACGCCTTTAGTACTTCTTTAAGTACTCACTAGACTCTAAAGACCTACCAACAAGTTAAGCTTATGAGTATGCTGGGCTATGATTTTTTTCTGCATCATTACATATTATCTCCATTTCCAGGGACCTGAGCATCCCAACCCAGGACGGAAGTTTACGGCTAGAGGATTTCCACGTCACTGTTACTTGCCAGATAATGATAAAGGGAGGAAGGTGAGCACCATGGTGATGGATATACTAAAATGAATCATTTCTAGTAGTTATAGCAACAACAAAAAAGGCTGCAGTGTTGTCATCACTGGACGTTGCATGTTATATGAGTTCCTTTATGTAGCGCAGGGCTCAAAATTTCAAGTCCTAAGCTACTAGCCAGACCTTAAAAGTTACTCGCCACCAGTTGCCCCACCTAACCCCTACCCTGCCCCGGTCTTAACTCCGCCAGGTCAGCGGTGTGACGCAGAGTACAAAGATCAGTAACAACGCACAGTACAGAAGTCAGTGGTGCAATGCAGAATACAGAGGCCAGCTGTGTGACGCAAAGTACACCGGTCAGCAATGTGACGTGCAGTGCAGATATCAGCAATGTGACGTGCAGTGCAGATATCAGCAATGTGACACGCAGTGCAGAGGTCAGCAATGTGACGCGCAGTGCAGAGGTCAGCAATGTGACCCGCAGTGAAGAGTTCAGCAATGTGACTCGCAGTGCAGAGGTCAGCAATGTGAAGCACAGTGCAGAGGTCAGGGTGTGACGCACAGTACAGAGGTCAGGGTGTGACGCACAGTACAGAGGTCAGTACACAGTACAGAGCTCAGCAGTCGGTATGTAACGCAGTGCAGAGGTCACAAAGAAAGTACAGGGACTTGCAGTTGCTTTGACCTCTTCTTCTTCTGGTGATGGTGGGGGGAGCAGCGAGGTTTCCTACACGTCCAGCCGGCTCCAGGTGCTCTCTCTCCCACGCAGCAGAAGCCGGCCAACTGCAGTTCGGCAGTCTTCCTCTCCCACCAATGGCAGCTGAGGTGGGCGGAGGAAAATGCTGTGGCCGCGAAGGAGCCCAATCGAAGCGGGCAAAGACGATCGCATTCCAGCTTCTTGTTCTCTACTCCCCGCCACCGCAGTCTTAAAGTCAGAGTAGTCTTAAAGAGGCCCCCCTCCCAGTCCACATCTTTCGGACTTATTAATCTGAGTTGCCCCACTCAGTTTGCCCGTTGCTTGCAGTCATATTGAGTGGGGCACTAAGATTATTAACGTGCTGAATTAGTCTGACCCAGGGGCGGACTGGGCCCGGAGGCAGGGTGGCAATTGGCCCCCAAGCCTCTCATATACCTTTGCGAACGCCCCCCACTGCCGCCGTAAGCATTTAATCTCTCCCCTCTTGGTCGCTCTGCTGCTGCAGCGGCCGAGAGGGGAGAGATGAAGTGCTTGGAGGGGCGTTTGCAAAGGTATCAGAGAGCCCCGGAGGGCAATTGCCACCCTGCCCACGGGCCTAGTCCGCCCCTGGGTCGGACACTTATTAATATGAGTGCCCCACTCAATATGGCCGCAAGCAACGGGCATACTGAGTGGGGCAACTCAGATAAATAACGTCCAAAAGATGTGGGCTGGCAGGGGGGGGCTCTTTAATAATGCTCTGATCACATCGCTGAGCAATCCCTCTCTCTCATCCCGACCGCTGCAGCTTCAGCTCCACAAAGCGGGCACTCAGAGAGGCAGCTCTGACCGCACCTGTCAGCGTTCCCTCTCTCTCCTCCCGACCGCTGCAGCTTCAGAGCGGCTGGAAGGAGAGAGAGGGAGCGATAACAGGTGTGATCAGAGCCGCCTCTCTGAGTGCCCGCTTCGTGGAGCTGAAGCTGTAGCGGCCGGGAGGAGAGAGAGTGCAGAGAGCTAGTGCCGGCTCTGAATGGGACACTACTGCCGCGGTGATCGGTTGCTTCAGTTCTCTCTTCTTCTTCTCGGCCGCTCTGTAGCTGCAGCAGCCGAGAAAGAGAAGAGAGAACAGAAGCGAGCGATCGCCGCGGCGGTATTGTCCCATCCTTTGTTCCCACCGGCGGCGCACCCCCTTGCTGACATTCCACTCGCAATTTTCACTCGCCAATTGTGAGGGGGCGAGTGGAAATTTTGAGGCCTGATGTAGCGTATACTGATATATACAAGTATGAGAATATTGTGTGCATTTTCTGGATTTCTCTATAATGAAGTCCTAAAAGTAATAAGATGTTTATCTAAGACATAATAAGAGAGACCCAGGGATTTTATTTTACAAAGAATGCGCACACAACATGTTACACTAATAAATCTTTATTGATAAAGTTTGAAAAGTTAAGGTGATTGCTGGAAAAAGTGTGCACATTCCTAGGATCATGACATCTCAAAAAGCCAGGTGTGCCAATCAAGCTCACAGTTACATGATCTTCATAGAAGAATTTTGTTGTATTTAGGAGTTGTGATTGTATTCTGACCTTACTAGCTGTATGCATGTTCTAGGTCAGTCACTAAAAATACTGAGACCAGTGACAGTCTGAGGGCGTTAGATAGAACATGTTAGAAGGAAGTCAGCGGTGCCATCCTATGTTTTTCTCTTAGTACAGGTTTCCTTTAACCTTTTCACTGCCAGAAATGTTTTTGCACACGTTATAATACACATTTTAGGCCTGACAATGATTTTAAAATAATTAAAATATTATTGGTATTTATATAGCGCCAACAATTTTACTGGCAGTTTGGCCGCCAGAATAGCTTCCAGTGTAAAGCTGAAAGTGATACGGCGCTGGCAGGGAAAGGGTTAAAGCATATCTGAACTCAAGAACAAAAATGTAATATATTGCAGCTTACTAGTCCATACTTTCTTTATCTAGTGATCGTGCCAGTCACACATTTCCTGTGCTAGGGTGACAATGCTCACTCACTGTTCTGTATCTATAGAGAAACAACATTATAACCCTAGCCTGCTTTCCTGATTTGGACTGCAAACACCTCCAACTCTCCTTATCTGCATTACATCAGGGCAGGTGTCCTACAGTCATCAGATGTTAGTTGGTAAGGCTGATAAAATTGAGCTTTCAGTTCAGTATACAGGAAGTTACAATGAGACCTGATTTCTAACAAGATCGACAGATATTCTTCTAAACTTACAGAAAATGTACTTTGTCTGAAAAAAGAAGACTAATGCAACTACCACATCTGGTAGACTGTAATATATTAAATATTTATTCTCAGGTTTAGAACTACTTTAAGAAGGAGCAGGTTTTGAAAGGTAGAGAGGGAAGTCATCCAGGTAAAAGTCAAACTGACAGCTCAAAAAATAAAACAGTGTTTTGCCCGGCCTCCAGTCATGGGTCATAGAGAGATTTGTGTACATTTCATCATATAGGACCAGTTGTTTTTCTCATTGCAAACCTTCCAGTACTCAGATGCCCCCAGGGCTTACCAGCATGATGAAACCAGCCCTCCGGTAGAGACATAATGTTTCATTTATAAATGGTAGCAGTAGGCCTACTCGTATTACAAAATATGCTCTGATTTCAGGTATTGCGCCTGCTTGTAGCGGCATGGGATCGGCGCCTGATATTTTCCATCGGTACCTCCAGCACAACAGGAGAATCAAACACAGTGGTATGGAATGAGATTCATCATAAGACTGAGTTTGGATCAAACCTTACAGGTCATGGATATCCAGATCTCAACTACTTGGACAATGTGCTAGCTGAACTTACTTTGCAAGGGGTCACTGAAGATCGGCTTTAGTAATCAGTATGCTGGACCCTTTCATACACATAGGCCCGGCAGCTGTCTCAGAGCCTCATCAGCTTTGCCCTGCTCAATATTGCCCCTTCTTTTTCAGGGGATTTCATCCTACCACAAGTGGTGACGCCACCATACTGCCTTGATCATTTAAAGGGCAAATATGTGATTTTTTGCAGAGCATTGAAGATGTATAACATCACTCGTATTTCAGTGATGCATGGAAGCACTCTTCACAGCATCTCAGGCCTCATGGGCAGTGCAAATAGCAGAGAATTACTCTGAAGCATGAATTTAGTGGGACAAAGGCAATTTGAATGCAGCAAGTTGCTTTAATTTAATGAACACAGAAGAAGCAAAGCAAATTCACCAAGTTGTGCAGAACTTTGGGTGTTTGACTAATATGCCACATAAACCATTTGTGTCTGGATTAAGGCTCGTGGTTGGCATTTAGTCCTGGTCAATGGCAGAGTATAAGGTCTTGACCCCCTAACACACCCACAAACCAATGTGAGTGTTTAGCATCCTTCTTACTAATACTTCAAAGCCAAAACCCAGAGCAGCCTCCTGTCTCTCATCTCTTGCGTGACCAAAGTACATGTTGTATCTGTGTGTGCTACATCAACCAGTGATATATATATATATAGATATATGTGAGTGTAGAGCAATAAGGAATACATGAAATGTTCTAGTATGCTGGGAAACAGTATTGGACTTATATAACAACATAGTGAAAAGAACAGTGAAGTGCAGTAAACCATAGCAGTCAATAAAAAGAAAAAATCAGTTTTCATGCAACAGACTTATCTGCTGAAACATTTCTAGTTAGTATAGGTTACTGCACATCCTTGCACTATGTTATTAAGGGAAGGGTGACCCTAGGTACTCGTGACTAAAATGTAGCAGATTTGTCATAAATATATACATTTATGGAAAATACAAATTAATTGCCTCTTTGTTGTCAAAACACATTCTTTAAACTGTTTTGTAATATATTCTCTGTGCAACATCCAGGTTTCCACTGTCTCTTCTTATTGTACCTCTGTGGAAGGTATGGTAACCTTTCTTTAGATGTTTCTATATCTGCTCCAAAAAATGTTCGAGGGAACCTGGCAGTTATTTTATTTCTTTTCAGAAGTAAAAAACCTGCTTAAGAAAAGTCACCACAAGGTGCCTGCTACTACCTTGGTTAGCTAGAAAAAGCCTCTGGCACCCTTTTGATCCTGTCTTCACTGTGTTACTAATGGCTCAACTGCCCCTACTTCTGGTCTAAGGGCTACACACCTCAATTCCGCTGTGCAATAAGAGCACCCTTATTGGCAAAGCAGTCCTTATGGAAGAACAGGTGGGTTGGGTAATAGGCAAGGAAGTGAAATCAGGATCAGGGGGAAAATAGAACCATTTTTTCCTTGGTAACGTCAGGCACCTTGTTTTATCTGTTTTTAAGCACAATGGATACTTTAAAAAGTTTAAAATGGACAACAGGTTTATGATGTGCAAGACACTTTTTGCATTGCACCTGACAATACAAAATACTGTTGAAATTGATAGTGTTATATTAAACGCCATGGTCTTTCCCCACATGAATGGGGGCTTTTCCTCTACATGTCACAGGTCTGTGAAGCTTGCCACTGGAATTAATAGCACAGAGACTCCTGTAAGCATGAGAAATGCACTGAAATGCTTTTCCTCTACATGTCACAGGTCTGTGAAGCTTGCCACTGGAATTAATAGCACAGAGACTCTCATAAGCATGAGAAATGCAGTAATAGGAGACTTCACATCAGTTTTTTTTTTCTTTTGTAGCATGCATTGTCCTGTGACTATGTAGCAGTATACTGCTGCATTATAGAAAGCTCTCATCTGAAATCATAATTACAATAACCACACACACAGTTTAATGCCGTTTCTGTTCGCATGTGTCAGATTAAAAAAAATGTACCAATACATGTACTGAGAACACCACTAAAATACATTTACAGTGTGGCAAATAATGATGTGATCCCCTGCAGATTTTGTAAGTTTGCCCACAAACAAATAATAAATTAAAGGTCTATAATTTTTATCATAGGTGTATTTTAAATGATAGAGACAGAATATCAAGCGACAATCCAGAAAAAACACATGATACAAATGTTATATATTGAGTAGCAGTACAGTGAGTAAAATAAGTATTTGATCCCCAAGCAAAACTTGACTTAGTACTTGGTGGAGAAACCCGTGTTAGCGAGCACAGAGGTAAGACGTTTCTTGTAGTTGGTTACCAGGTTTGCACACATCTCAGGAGGGATTTTGGTCCACTTTCCTTTACAGATCTTCTCTAAATCCTTAATGTTTCTTGGCTGTCGCTTGGCAACTCGAATTTTCAGCTCCCTCCATACATTTTCTATAGGATTAAGGTCTGGAGACTGGATAGGCCACTCCATGACCTTAATGTGCTTCTTCTTGAGCCACTGCTTTGTTGCCTTGGCGGTATGTTTTGGGCCATTGTCATGACCCATCTTCAGTGTTCTGGCTGAGGGTAGGTGAGTCTCATCCAAGATTTTAAAATACATGGCCCCGTCCATTGACCCCTCAATGCAACAAAGTCGGCCTGTACCTTTAGCGGAGAAACAGCACCAAAGCATAATGTTTCCACCTCCGTGCTTGACTGTAGGGATGGTGTTCTTAGGGTCATAGTCAGCATTTTCTTCCTCCAAACACGGCGAGTCCAGTTAATGCCAAAGAGCTCAACTTTGGTCTCATCTGACCACATCACTTTCTCCCAATCCTTCTCTGAACAATTTAGATGTTCATTGGCAAACTTCAGACTGTACATGTGCCTTCTTGAGGAGGGGGACCTTGTGGGAGCTGCAGCATCTCAATCCATGGTGGTGTATTGTCTTACCAATGTTTTGTTTGGTGACTGTGGTCCCAACTGCCTTGAGATTATTCACAAGCTCCTCCTGTGTAGTTCTGGGCTGATCCCTCACTTTTCTCATGATCATCCTTACCCCATGAGGAGAAATCTTGCATGGAGCTCCAGACTGAGGGCAATTGAACGGTTATTTTGGATTCCTTACATTTGCGAATAATCGCAACAGTTGTTTCCTTCTCACCAAGCTTCTTGCTGATAGTCTTGTAGCCCATTACAGCCTTGTGCAGGTCTACAATCTTGTCCCTAACATCCTTTGATAACTCTTTGGTCTTGCCCATGGTGGTGAGGTTTGAATGGAAGAGATCCTGTGGACAGGTGTCTTTTACATACATAACAAGTTGTCGTTAGGAGCACCCTCTTACATTAACAGGACTAATCTGTGTACCACATAGCCAGTCTGTGGACCTCTGTTTGGACCTTGGTTTTTAATTCACTACCCCTGATCTAAAGCATTACCATCCCTAACTAGAAGTCTGTTTGAGCAATGCTGATAACAGATAAGGGCTCAATCTACAAAGATTCCAAAGTTTTAATGGGGTTTAATCATTATTTAATCATTATTGAATTTATAAAAATGTAGGTGTGTGGGATTTACGTAAAGTGTTTCTTCTGTAAGAATTACATTTTAAATGCTGCCGATTGAAGGAATATTTATAACAGGGTTTATTAAGTGTAACACAGGCTCTCTTTTAATCACAATCTTATTTAAAGAACATGATGTGAGCAAAGTATCTTGATATAAAATTAAATGATAGCAAAATATGAAATTAATCATACATTAAAACACTTTAAAGCTGAACTGCAGGCAGATATTAACACCAATCATTGTAGCTATGTATTTATTTAAAATCATTAAATGTATTTTTAAATCCAACTAAGAGTAAGGGTACCTAGGTTTTTCTTGATACCAGCCTCCTGTAACTCCTTCTATATCGACACTCAAGAAGGACAATGAGCACTAGCAGACATTAAGGCTTTGCTGCAGTACACCTACAGTGATTGTGGACATGCTGATAAGAGGCGACAGCATGAGCAGAGAGATGATATCATGAGTGCACTCCTTCACTTCAGTGTTCTTGACTATATTGTGTTCTGTTACTGTAGTGATATGAAGGATTATCCCCACCCTCAATTATCTTAGCAGGTAATATATATATATCTATATATATTTCCTGTAGCACCACGGCAGCACGTGATGCGATGTGCTGCCGTGGATGCACAAGGAAAGGATGATTACCGATCGGTGAGTATACAATCTTCCATTATATTGCATATTTGAACTGTGTAATTTGCAACTTGTCATGAATTCAGCTTTATTAAGAATATAATGTAAACGGAAAAAATATGTAAAAGGCCAAAAACAATATTTAGGTTATAGGTAGAGGCTGAAGACTATCCACTAGCTTCTTTCATTACTTGGTACTATAGAGGCAACACATCACTGCTATAATGCTTCATTCTGTTCCCAGTGCCTTGAAATATCACTTTATCTACAACAGTGGTATTCTAACTCCGCCTACTCAATATTTATTCACTGTTCTATATTCTATATATGAACCTTTCCTGAGAAAAAAATAAAGGCTGCCATTGGAAATGTTAGCTGTCTGGCTGTCATGCTGAGCCTCTGGCTATACTACTTTGAGTCACAGGAACACGGAGAATTTACTCTGACTTTCCTGATCTACAAACTTGCTCCAGGTCAGTGACTTAAAGTATTATAGCCAGTGTTTTAGCATAGCAGCCAAGCAATAGCCTTTTTTAGGACGTCAAGCAATGATAGCACACATGTTTCTTTAACATAAAACATTAAAAATCCAACATGGAGACTGGAACCCAGTCTAGAAGCCTTGGCGGGCTTGGAAACTCATGCAGAGACAGAAGGTCATTGAACTTAATTATATAGCATTTCCCATAAACTGAAATATTCATTTTTATTGGTTGACGTTTTTATGAGAAGCAAACGTACTCTTCAATAACCAGAATCATGCTGTTTACTGTTTATTTGTAACTAAGCAAGATATGTTTCACAACATGGCCACTATTAGAAAAGCTAAATTGAATAAAGGTTGGCAAACTGAGAGATGTAAAATAAATGTATTTCAGTATGATAGTGTGAACAGTCTGACTGGGCTGACAATTAGGTTTTTGGATTGTTATCACATACACATGTACTTCAGTCTGTTACTATTTAATGCAGATAGTGTCCATTAAGGGACTATCTGAGATCACGCATAGAGTGGCATGGAGGCTGTTATCTTTTGGTCTTTGAAACACAAGAAGAGGGCTTCAATCCTTTCTGCCAAAGAGGCTGTAATCCAGGAAGCTGTACAAGTGCAGAGTATGAAGAAGTGCATGGAGCAACCTTCACCCCCATATCCTATTTGCGCTCGGCATGTCCTTGCTTATGTGAATAAAATCAATTTCGAATTCTTCTGTATGACCTGTATGTGAGTTATATGTTTGATACCTTCTTGTTGCTACATGACTTGGAAATGCATAAATGTTTTTTTAAACCAGGTAAGAGGTAAATATATGGCAGAGTGAAGTAACAGTAAAGGCAAGACAGTCACAGAAATTATATATAGGTCTCATTAACACCAGCCAAGTTAAGTTCTACCTGGAAGGACATTGGGTTGCCAGATCGCAAGGTTCCCATGTAATTTCACAGCACTGGGTGATACAGTACATGTTCCAGAAATATACTGCTGATAAAAAAAAAAAAAGATGGCAACATCCAACTACCATACGTGTCCTTAAAATACTAGAGTCACTGAAACACAGAGATAATAAGTTTAAAACCCATTTCTAAATGATTTTGAGAGGGAATAATGGTAATCATGATTTATATGTATTATGTAAATTGGTTTATTTTATTAATAGTGGAGCTCCATTACAACAAACTACACTATTCAAATGTAATAATGGTGAATGCTGAGAAATGTATTCTAAAGGTTTAAAAGTATACTCCACATGGAACATGGCCGAACTCACCGAGTCTCCCCATTGGCTAAAACACCCTAAATTGTCAGTAATCTGGTATTCTAGGAACACCACTTGCTGAGATATGACAATGCAGGTCACACATTCTCAAGCCCCCACTATGTAGGGTATTTGCTAGATCTCAGACAGAAAGAGAAATCAAGGTTGCAAAGCAAAATAATCATATGGCAAGCAGCTACAGGCATTTCACTCTATAACATAGAAGCATTGGAGGCCAAAATCTTCTTGTGCTGGTTACTTACTTGTTCCCATCT